TTTTCAAGATTTCTTAATAGTAAAAACACATGACATGTGTAAAATAATAAAACTAAAAATGAGATTAGTTAAAAATTCATTTACCATGACTTAAAATTAATTTTTTAATGAAATGAAACACTTAGCAATAGATACTAGTTGTTATTTCTAACTAGTGTTGGTGTATGATTTTCATTATTAGTTCCCACTATTAAATAACATTTTTTTAGTAAAATTCAATGCACTAGTGTTTCTAACTAGTGTTAATGCAACTATATACACAATTTATTACCTTACCTATCGATAAGTAAAAGTTTTCATGTAAGATTTCTAGTTATTTCTATTATATGTTATTCATCTTGACTCGTCGGTTTGATATTCTTTTAAGTATCTGCTCTGCTATCAGTCACGTCACAACATACACTGAGGGTATAATGTCAATATTACATCAGAAAAGGGTTCATATGTTTTGCTATTGATTTCTACTCTTTACAACAAACCTCACATATTTTCACCAGTGATGAAATCACTACAATATTCTTAACCAAATTGTCATTAATAATTTACTACATAGCATGTAGTTAGGTTTTCAAGTACAACACTCATTTGTAATATCATTACTCTATAACCCGTAAAAGATTTAATCAATTTTAACTAATAAAAATCGTACTAGTAATATATTTACTTTTTACTCCTTTTTGACTACAAAGTTCGGAACTAATGAAACTACTTAATAACTAGTGACTTTAACTTTTTTTTGCTCGCTTTTAATAATTCCTTATGGGAAGTTTTTATTTTCCCAAGTTGATGCAAATCGCGTGTAAATTATAATTTTAATAAAAAACAAATAGTTGCAATATAATTAACTTAATTATAACATCTTCAACTTAAAACACACTTTCATTGCATTATTAATAAAAGTGAAATTAAAAACAAGCCAACTAATTGTCGTCTCGTTTAAATTTCGCATTGAATGCAAAACATCTTTCCAGCTGCATAAGGGAAACGCCCCTTCTCCTTACTACCTCAAATTAAGGAAAATGTGCTGCAATGCTTCCAGCTTGAAGTGTCCTTCAGCTAATCTCTAAACAGGCTTATGAAACTGACTTCACTTAAGTCTATAGCCTACTGTTCCTTACTTACATTTCTTTTTTAGTACTTTTTTTTGATACTTTTTTTGTTGTCTTATTTTTCGGCTTAATGCTTGCTTTGTTGCAGCACTTATTATTTTATTAATGTAGCAATTTTCACTGTCAGCAGCATTAATTTTTTTATTGTTGTTGTTGCTCTTGCTGCACTCGTTAAAAGTACAAAAAAGTATCAATTACCAAAACAATTATTTACCTTTTGAAAATCTCATTTTTATTGTTTACATTTACTTCCCCTCTAATAATTGTCAACAATTATTTGACATTCATGCCGACAGAAAATAATTTTGAGATTTAAAAAAAAAACGAAAGGCAATGTCCTTCCAGTTCTTTGCCAAATCTATGTAGCACATGAATATACTTTCAATATATGTAAATGATACATTGTTGAGTGCACCTCCTTAACATCCTGCAAATGTGCGTGTGCTTCATTGCACAATTTTTACCTTTGTATTGCCTAGGCTTCAGTGTTGATTCCTTCCCCTTTGTGCAAGAGCCATTGAAGAGAGCGACAGTGTTTTTTCTTTTTCGTTTTCTTTCTCTTTTGTGTTTTATCCTTTTTAAGTGTTCTAAATATTTTATACAAAAAGTTTAATAAATAGTTTGTTAGGCTATTGTGCTTGAAAAAACACGGCCGCCTTTAAATAATTTATTGTACAGTACCGGTATTGTGGTTAAAAAGTTTAGGTGTAAGTCGGTAGTAGTGCTTGTACAAAAAAGTCTAAATAAATTTAATGGAAAATAAATATTTACGAAAATTAAAATTTTAAAAAATAATTTTAAAAATTTAGTAATAAATTAAACTAAAAGGACACAACTTCTTAAGTGAATAGTTAACGCATACCATTAGAGATAAAAAAATTTAAATCTTTAAAATCATTTGTTCACTAGTTACAATATTACTAAAACCAACTAGTCCAAGAACAGAAATAATATATTTACTAGTTACAATTTTCCTTTAATCTTTAGTTTCAAATGTCTATTTAAACGTTTATGTTCTTAAAATAAAAAGTATTGATTTACTAGTTACAATTTCTCTTTAGTTATTAGTATTAATGATCTGCATAATCTATATATATTTTAATCCTTAAATTCTTAAAATAGCTTAACGGTAATTGTTTTCTAGTTGCAAACTAAAAATACCTACTAAAAACATGATAAACTGCCATGGGCTCCAGAGTTTTTGAACGTTTAACCTGTCGTTAAGGTTTAAAACCACTGTTATCTCAGTTATAAATGCCCCATTGTGAACTCTAAAGAGTTCCCAAATACCAATTGAAGCTATACGTTTGAATATAGTCTCCACCCTGATATGTTACGAGGCCTATATGATACTTCTGCTGGTCTTTAGGTTAAAACATAAGGTTGTAAAATGCAAATCCACATCAAATGAAAGTAAATCAACGTATTTAATCTATCCACATAAATTTCGGTTTCCAACACAGCACCACATTACTCCTATTAAAGGGGCCAACCTTTAAGGGAAGCTCTGTTAGCAAGAACATTGTGAAATATGGCAAATCATAGAGATTAATATGAGTCACAACTTAAAAATTCATTTCACCTTCAAATGAAATCGACAAAGCTATTTTCTTAAAGAATTATAAACAAAAAACAGAGAAGAATGGAGCAATATTATTGAGGCATCTAAAATTTATGTCGAGTGATGATGTTGAAAAATTCAATGTTTCTCTTATAAGTATTTGTACTTGAAAAAGAAATTGTTGCCTACGAGATTGAATTTTACTAGTTAAGCTAAGCAATATTTACGATTATCATATATAATTATCGTAATTCATTAAATTCTCTACACAAAAAAGAATTATTAACTTACTAGTTCTAATTCAACTAAATGTGATTATTAAATACTACCATTTGTAATTTTTCTCTTAACTCCTTAAAATTATAAATAAATTATCGTTAATAGCAATTTTCTACTAATCAATACTTTATTATTATTTCTTACACTTTAAACGTTATATTAGAGAGTATGTACTTACTAGTTATAATTATTGCATTTTGTAATTGTTGTTTTAATGCTTCAAAATTAAAAATTAATTATATATCAGTGAGATTTTTACTGAGTTCTGTTAGTCAATATCTCATAAATAATTCTTAATCTTAAACCATTATATTAAAGAGTTACTATACCTCTACTAGTTATAATTATTACCATTAATAATTATTATATCAACTTCATTAAAATTGAATAGTAACTAAACATAACTGTAAACATAGTAAACATATGCTTAAAATAATTTTACATTTATTATTTCGATATTCATTCTAGCACTTTAACTAGTAAATTAAACGCTATGCTTGTGTACTAGTTTTAATTGTAATAAAACATTTTTGCTAGCTATTATTTTCATAAATATTATTATATTTTTAAGTGATAATAATTGTGAATATTTTTATTAAAATTGTTTGCAATTAAATGCACTATAATTAAAAACTAATTATTAACTAGTTATAATAATCATTTATTATTTTTTTCTCAATTAACCTTGGCCTATATATGTAATATAAATTATTCATTGTGAAACAATAAAAAATAATCTATTCTTGCAATAATTTATTTAAATAGGATTGCAGTTTATGTTTTACATATATATGTATATAGCATTGCTTTATCACTCGTTATAGTTACTCTCCGATTCAGTCAACCTTTCTTAGCGTTAATCCGCTACTGTATGTTATTATTATTGTACCCTAATTGCTTTGAATTACGCTGAACTACAAACAACATTATTCACGCCCAGGTTTAGAGAACATTTTTTTTTTGGAACCCATATTATACTTAGCTATGCTTGTACGTTTATTTTTAGTGGATGATTAGGTTTAACTGCAATGAACGAGTACCTATGCGCCTATGAATTTGTGTGTTTGTCGGATAATGGAGGACACAGAGAGACGACGTACAAGTTTGATGACGAGAAGTAACTTAATATTGTAATTGTAATTGTAGTGCAATGAAGCGAATTTTCTAACAGCAGCTAGCGTAGATTTTCGCAAGTGATAAGCAATTGCATATGAGGTACTCACCTCGCTGCTACGTATGTCTACTTAAATGGGTTTTTATGTTCGTCAGTGTATCACAAAAGAGTAATAATGGCGGCGGTTTACATGCACACCTATTTGCACGCGGGAAGTACTAAAAGTTGTTGTTGTTGTGCTGTTGTCGTTGTAGTTGTGTGTGTATTAGTTGCAGTGGTAATACACGGACTCGTACCTTTGTAGGCTCAAATTATCAGTAGATAAAATCGCTTTCGCGTTGAGTTCAGTTCAGCTGAGTTGAGTTGAGTTGAGTTTTGGCGAGCTGAGCTTATCTGATCATGTAAAAATAAGTAATGTTTCATATATTTACGGTTTTTTGCTTAGATTGCTTTTAGCTCTTTTAGAGCAGACGGGACTTAAGGGACTTTACATATGCAATACAAGTAATAAACATATTTTGGCAGTGGTGAAAAACAAAAAAAAAAAGAAGAAAAAAAAAAATTGTAGCTATTGCTTATTGCTTTATACTGTGAACGATGGTGTAAGAGTGTGAAGTACGTTGCATTTCCTGTGTGTTAAATTTAATTTCAACGAGTTTGTGCGCACAATTGGAGGTCAAAAGGAAGTTGCTGTTGTTAAAAAAAAAGCAAAAACAAAAAATTGAAATTGCTGTAAGAAAAGTAAAAGTTTTGGTAATAAAACTTTATGACCCAACATAGTTTAAGTTGACCCAATTACTCCATTCAACACGAACTACAAACAATTTACTACGTTTATAAAGTGCTTATTGATTTTCCACAGCTGCTCTCCAACAATGCAAATTTAAAAATTATACAAATTTATTATATATATTTTAATTTTAATTTTCTTTTATAGGTAAATCGTCCACTGACTATGAAAAAGGAAGGCATACAGACACGAAATCGTAAGCTCTCATCAAAATCGAAAAAGAAGAAAGGCCTCGGCGGAGCTTGTTTGCCTATTGGCAGTCATTTGGGTATGGGTGATTTCAAACCATTGGATCCATCAAAAGGTTTTGGTGGCGGCTTCTCAGCATCAATGGGTAAGCAACTGAATTGAATTTATAAAAATTTCAATTTTTCATGTAAATCAAATAGGTTTTAAGTCATCCACCAGACAATGACTCCATTTTCTATTGTAGACAATGGAAAGCATTGATTTGTTAGTCACATATTTACACATATTTACTCCCTCACATTTCACTTACCAACAATATACCGACATACTATGTTAGTAGTACACATATTAACGTTTTGTTATTGTCTTGTTTTGTTTATATTTCCAGCACAACATGGCCATCTTTCCAGCGGCTTACATCCTGCACATGCGCATATGCACGGCGGCTGGTATACCGGCGGCATGGGCGCTTTGGGTGCTTCAAGTGGTTTGCAAGGTGGTTTCTCTACAGCTGGTTCATTGGGTGGTGGTGTTGTGCCACACTCACAGCCTTATCATTTAGGTTTGGGATCGATGGTAAGTAAAACTAAGAAATAAAAACGAATATTTTTATTAAATTCTTTGACTGATAATTTTTAATTTAAAATGAAAAGTATATTTCATTCATTCTTAATTATTTAATAGAAAATAAAGTTAAATAACTAAATAATTTAAGCCACTTTTAAATGATTAAAACTTAGTTGCCAAATTTTATAAATTCATTAGATTAAACAAAATGTATTACGTTTTTATTTTATATGAAAAGAATTAAGTAAATGAACATAAAAGTTTTAAACTCTTATAAACTGCAAGGAAAGCCACTTATAAAGACTCTACTAAACTATAAGCAAACACGACTTACACAAAGTAATGTCCTTTACCATGTTTACACTATCACAATTTTTAAACTAACAAATCTGCAACATTAAATGCTATATTTTATACAAAAACCCATACAAAATCCATACAGAAATGTGATAAGGTTCAATAACCATAAATGTGAACATAACATAGTACTAATATTTATTGATTCAAAGTCGCTATAAAAACAATTAATAAATGGTTTATAATGTACTAAATATCTTCTACTAAAATTATTTAAAGTGGGGGTACATAACTTCAAAATTTTTGGCAATAGCATTTATTTTTATGAAAAATTATAAAATATAAAATAAGGGTCCAATATTTACAAACAATGAACGAATTTATTCGTTTAAACCTGTACTTATATATCAATAACTGATTTAGGATCAGGAATATAATCAACTTAATTCAAATTATTAAATTGCCTACGATCAATTTGTGTCTCAAAAACGTAAAAAAATTGAACTAATAAAAATTAGTTCAATATGAAAACTCTCTATTTCTATACATACACGAAAAAATTCACAGGACTCTAAACACTCGTCCATTAATGTAAATAAAATATTCAAATATATTCAATTTAATGCACATTTTTAGATAATAATCTGATTATTTGAAATAAAACACTTTTCACAAACAGATTTTACTTTTCTACATATAATGCTAATATAATAAAATATTGATGGCATATGTTAAAAACCATATGCAAATAAGTATTTTTAATATTACAATCAGATTATTTTTTTAGCCACCACTGTAAGTGGCATAATAAAAAATCTCTTTTATTTGATTTACTCTTTCATACAATTGTGCTGTTTAGCTTTAAGCGTACAAAGTGCCAGTGGTGAATTCACTCGTTTGTGTGTAGAAAATTTGATTGACAGCTTATGTAATTTAATAATTTTTAAGATTTTATGCCTTTTTAGTGATAATAATTATTTTATATATAAAAACTTTTGTTTTGGTCTAAGGAAACAAACAATTTTTATTTAATTAATATTGGTATTTCTTTTGATTAATATGAAATAAATATTTACTCTTTATTTGTATATATTATTTATTTAGTATAGTTCAAACTTTAATTCTTAGAAAAAATATACTTACTTAGTTACAAAAAGAGCTAAAAGCCCGATGTGGAGTCTTATAGGCGCCTTTATAACATAAACTAACTTAACCTACCTACACATGTCAGATATCATTAGCATTAAATTGATATATATTGATTTTAATTAATTTAAATATATATTTAAATAATTTTATTAGAAAAAAAATTAAAATAAATTATTTTATATTTTACGTTATTATAAATATGTATAAAAATTATTAATAGTCATTTACGATACATAATAGTAATTCAGTTACGCTTTTTTCACTGTACTAAAATATTAATATATGAAAAAACGAAATTTATTAAAATTAATAGCATTAAAGAAAATAATCATTCCAGACTGTTATCTGTTTGGCGCACCTCAATGAGATCGCCAGCTGTTTACCTATATCTATCTAAATATAGCTATATAAAACATAAATATTTATGAATACTTAAATCAGGTATAACTAACAATTAGTATTTCAATAAGATCGCTAAAGATTTTCCTATTTTTATCTAAGATCTAATTTATAATTTAATTGTATCTAATTTATTGGTTCATATATAATCAGCATGTAGTAGATTTAGATGTAGTAATCTCTACATATGGCCATATATTATTAATATAAATTTATTTTAAAACTACATATATCAGATTTATACAAATCATATATAAGTATCTTCATAAGATCGCTACATATTTTCCTCTAGTTATCTACAACTATATAATATTTACATGAATTAAGTTTAAAACAACAATTTTCTAATTTATAGAAAACGTATATAACTAACGTCTAATATTCCCTTAATATCGCCAAATCTTCTCCTATATTTATCTACAGCTATGTTATATTTATATAAAAAGTTATTTCAAAACTTCGACTATCTGGTTTATACAATTTAGGTATTACCAATAAGTAAATTCTCAATGAAATTGCTAAATATTTTCCTATATGGTAACTACATATCGCTATATAATATTTATATAAATTAATTTTAAAACGATAACAAACTGAGTTCTAGCTTCGATATAAAATATAGCTTACGTTTAACTAAGGAATTTAAAAAAATAAGTAAACTATGTTTAAGTTCAATTTAGATAGTTTCGGAGACGAAGACATAAATAATAAAATATTGTTTATATTTTATCAACTTTTGTTGTTATAATGGTTATTTTATTTATTCTATTCTATTCTATATTATATAGATTAAATTCTATTCTATTTAATCTACATTTTTCTTTAAATATTTGGAAACAATAAAAACTAACGAGTAATATCTTTTATTTTTCATTTTAGGGCACATGGCGTACAGACTATACGTGATGGAGCGGGAACAATTTGAATAATAATATATTCAACTGAAACATATTTTATTTATTAAACAAATTAAATACAAAACAAGAAGCAACATATGAGCTATGAATAAAGCAAAATTCTGTTCGAAAATTCGCCAAAACAATAATTAACTAGAAACCAGTGACAAACAACAACAATAGAAAGAACAACAAAGAAATACAACCATGTATGTGCGATGCAAAGAAGAAGAAAATGAATAATTATTTGCGTAGAATAAATATACGCCTCTGTTAACAACAACAACAACAACAACAACAACAACAATCGGTGTACCACATAACAAGTGCAGTCAAAATATTTGTTAAAATTTTGCAAAATCCTTAAGTGATCGGCTTAGATTTTTTGTGAGCTAAATGCTGTGGGCGTTATGTTACGGTTTAACTGATATATCCTGGATTATCCTGTCGCCGCCGTTACTAATAGCTGCCGTTGAAGTACCGCTCTCCATAACAAATCTGAACAAGTAATATATTGCAAAATTAGCTGCTGGAGGTGTAGAGCTGCAGTTACTGTGTATTTTGGTTTAGTTTAGTTTGAGTAAATAAGAGATCATCATTAAACTGTCTGCCAACATAGTATTTGCTTGATTGTGCATTAAATTAAACAATTCCCAAATCTTTACTTATTTTTAAATATTTTGAAGTTTTTTTTTTTCATTCTTTCTTTCTTTCCAACGATAATTATTTTCACCTTTGGTTTTGTGTGTAGTTGACCACAACATTGTTCAACACTTAATGACTCTTTGTTCTTTTATACTATTTTGGTCTTACCTTTGTATTTCTTATTTTACTTTACCATAATTTAGGATTGTTTTGTGGTATTAGAATGTCTAGCAAAGGATTAATTGCAAGAGAAAATATATTTTGACGCCATTTAAATAGGCACTTGAGGGCATATTAGTTTATGCAAATAAGTAGGGTAAATAAAAAACTTTTATTTATTTTTTTTGTTTTTTTTTTTTGGATATAAAATAATTTTAAAAAATACAGAAATATTATATCGCATTATAAAAACAAATAATTCATATAAATTATATTTTTTTATTATAATTTTTACATATAAAAATCTCGGTCCTACGAAAATAATTTCTAATTTTTTATGTCAACTACTGACGACTTCACTGATTTTCCTAAAAATAATTTCAAAAAAAATATATATTCATTAAACAGAACATTGCGTGCAATTACTAATTATTTAAGTACCTTCGAAAGCTATTTTGCTTTTTATATATAACTTCATACGCTTAAATACATGAATATCCACTTCAATATAAAATGGCGGAAAAATGCTATTCAATTTGCTTAATACTTCTCCACATTTGTCAAAGTAATTAATTTATTTGCATGGAGTACCGGTAATTAATTTTTTATTTATGAATTCATTTCTGTGTTTTTATTTTTTTTTAATTACTAGTCTTTTTATTTATTTTTTTCTTTTTTATTTATAATTGTATGGAAATACATTGACTTGTAAACAATTGTCATAATGAAAAGCACAAAATTATAAATTAAAAATCTGCCATAAGTGTAAATAGTAATTAAATTTAAAAAATTGTAAATTATTAAAGTAAATAATATAGATTATAGTGAATTTTAATGTAATGAATTGTAAATAAATAATAAAAAAAATAACTGCTAACATGAAAACAGAAAAAAACTAGTAGAAATTTTCATATTTCTAATTGACATAAGTTAAAGATATATAAACATAAACTTAATTTATTTGCTAATATATAAATTTAATGTACAAGCACAAATCAAATAAATAAAAAAAACATAAAATATATAACAAATAAAATGCAATATGAAATTGTGAATAAAAAGCGCATATATTTAATTTAATACTGAAGTCTTAATATTAAAGTATTAAAAAAATATATAAAATTAAATAAGAAAACAAACAGTGCACGTCCAAATTTGTTATAAAAATTTTTATTTAAATTTATTTATTTTCTTTTTTTGTATTCTAATATTGACTAAAATAATGTTAAGCAATTAAAAATTGCCAAAAATATTTTAAAACTAAACTTTGTATAAAAAAACTTGATATGTAAATTAAAGACGTGATAAATTTGAAAAAAATTAATATTGTTTAAATAAAAAATTACTACAAAAACTTAAAAAACTTATTTAAATAATTAAATATTAATAAGTTAAAAAAATATAATAATACAAAAAAATATATATTGTATATAAAATAGTCATTTTAGCATTGTTAATATAAAATAAAAAATATTTACGTTAATTTTGTTTTTGAAATAGTAATTTGTATATATTATTTATTTTTTTCATTACGTTAACTATAGATATAAAAATAATTAAAAGAAAAAATTTAAAATAAATTAAAATTGTAATATAGTTAAAACTATAAAGAAATATAAAATGTAAAATATATAAAGTAGCCTATAATATATTGTAAAATATAATATAAAACTAAAAATATTCATGAAAAATATTTAAGTGTGTTTATAATAATTATTATTGTAATTTTAATAGTGAAATAATATTAATTTAATGTGTATTTAATTAGTATTAAAAAAAATTGTAATTATAATTATGGTTTAATTTATATAATATATATATATACTATATATATAAATATATATATGTATATATATGTAATTGTATGTTTAAATAAAATTACTTCAATGTAAAATTTCAAAAAAAAAATATTTATATAAAAATATAGATATATATCAATCAAGTATAAATGTAATTGGCCATATTGATAGTTGAGTATAAATAAATATTATAAAATAAATAAAATAAAACATATGAGAAATTATATAAATATTGTATTTAATTTAAATGGCAATCACAAAAATAAATGAAATGAAAAAAAATATTTAAAAAAATAAAAATTTTATGAAAATTTTAATAATTGCATTTTATAAATTATTTTAAGAGGAGTCCAAACTGATTGCGGTTCATACATAATAAACTGTTGAACCCTTTATTATATATAATAATATATCTAAATCGTTTCAATATATAAAAATCTACATTAAACTCTATACTGTCTCTATTCAGTAATACAATAATTAAATTATTATATTAATTAATTGTGTAAGACAAAGTCTATGGTTTTTTAACATAATTACTTGCCGTTGGGGCTTCACACGACGTTGATATTTACGAACGTAGGGAATTCCACAGGTACCGATTAATGCTATACGTTTAGACATATAAGATATATTAGTTCCCTTTCAAGAGGATGTGGGGCCTATATAACATCTCTGCTGTTCTTTGGGGCACATTACCCGGTTGTTAAATGCAAGTCCACATCGAAAACTTCTAGTTACATTCTTTGTAAGTAACCAACTTTAAAATAAATAGATCTGAAGCAAAACTGTATATAATATTTAAAAATCTTCAACGTGACCAATTTGATTGCATTCTTGAATAATAAGACTTAATGTCTACTGTTCAATTAAGGGCAGTAGTTAGCAGAAGAGATCTAATACGATCGTAGTGCCTTGCTGTACTGGAAATCCAGAAATTTGTTTTATAGTTCTATTCTAATTTTTTGTAGTTATTCAAACTTATTTTTAATAATAATGGCTATGCAAAGTAATATGGATATATTATTTCTTAAAACAATCATTTTCATACGAACGCTATATCAATTGATAAAATATCTGATCCATATCTGGGGTCAATTATTAAAAATATTGATTATAGAATACATTTCATTCTTCTAAATATTCAGTGTGACAATTAAAGCATTGTAAGGTATTTTCGACAGTACTATACTTTTTGCAGATGCTTGTGTCCTAGAAAGACTTAAGCAACAAACTTGCAGTTAACGCTATTACAGATACTTCTAAAAATTCTTTTAAGATATGTAAAAAAAAATTATAGTAAATGTAAAATTAAAAAAAAAAACTTTTTCAGTATTTATAATAAAGATGAATGCGTTAAATTAACATACGATTTCACGCTTCAATTGTAAAATTATTTTCTTTGATAGTACAAAACCCATAAAAAAAGTATCTAATGTATTCACATTTGTGAGTAGAACTCAATAAAGATATAAACAGCATATAAACAAGAAATAAACAAGAAATAAATTTGAAACCAAAACGTAATTGTAATGTAAAATGGTGTTAATTCCAACACCTTCATGTCTTCATCACTCAATTTGAACTTCGAAGTCCAAAGTAAGCCTCATAAATGTATCTAACGATTGTAAGGGTCCGTCGACATACGCACATACGGCTCGGCTCCACTGTACCTCATTTAGGAAAAGTAAATTTTGTAAGTTCGTACTTAACAAAAATTTTCTATAAAGCATAAAATTTGAATGTTTACAAAAAAAAATTCATAATAAAGCGAATTATTGTCTAAAGTCGAATACATTGTGAAGTGCAGAAGTAGATATTGTTATTTTTGGTTTTGTTGTATGGACAGCTTTATTCGGTGTATTGAATTTGTCAAATCATGTTCAGTTAATTAATCATTAATTTTGAGAATTCATATAAAACACTTTGCATAGCTGATCGAGTCTTTGCTCATATGCTGATTCATGCTTATAATTTTTATTATTATATTTATTTTATTACAAAATATTTCAGATATATTCACAAATTATAGTCACGAGTGCACCACGCGAGTTTTCTGAACTGCTGCGACTTAATTTCTGAATAATCGAAATAATAGTTAAATATATTGACTTTAATATGAATTTAAATTAAATCTAATATGCATTTGCAAATAAAAGATATAAAAGCATAATTAAATAAAGTTCTACTTGATTTAGCAATAATACAATTTATATTGTCAAAAAAAATTCAGTTATTAAGAACCATACAGAAGCCATAGGGTCAAAAGGACCCTATTACACTCTTTCGGATTGTATTAGATTAATTTCAAAAAAAGTAACCACCATTAATTTTATGTTTAATGCTTTGTTTTCAGTTCCCTTAGAATTACCATATCATAGTGAAATGCATGACGGACTAGCTTAAATTATTTTTAACATATTCTAACTATGTCTAATCTATTAGTATTTTTAGGCATCTGTCAGAGTTTGCCATACGAACAAGCACAGATCTACCCTTTTCCGATTCAAAGAATTTTTTTTAGCTTTCCCTATGATTTCTTGCAAGTAATTTTTGGTTATAATGTTTAATGTCCTCACGACTATCATAAAATTGTTCAAACTTATAGGAAACCCGTACGCGATACATATCATCGATCCGGTATATGCACACATTTACTCTTTGCTCTTCCTTTCTAAAATATCTGTCCTATATCACTAGTATAGGTATTAAGAATACTTTATTGCTTTATTAATACTAGAAAGTAGTAACCAGATCCACTATATGCTACTTTGAAAAGAGTTATCATGCGCAATAACATATATAAACTATATGCGGGTATAAACTGTGGTATCACAATGAATCCAATTCTTGGGATCTTAATGTGCCTTTCTGCAAAAAGTGGACTGTCTTGTGTACTCTATCCTAAACTTAACAAAATGGTATTATATAAAACGTCAAGCCAGCAAGATATTGTAGGCGAATTTACTAAAGGTTTGACAGTTAAAATATACTTCATTCATCACCAATTAGATCTAAAATAGAGCTTAATTCTTTTAAAGTCTCCAAACATACAAAAATAACCAAATTGTTGGAATAGTTTAAATTATACGGATGACTATGCCATATCAAAAAATTCAAATACTTCGAAAACATCTGACTGGTTTAAGCTATACGAATTATTTGATACGAATTCGAATATTTGTATTCTTCGAAAAGTTCGAAATATGAATTATTTAATGTGAATTCGAATTCGAATAATTGTATTTTGGAATAGTTCGAAATATGAATTATTTAATGCGAATTTGAATATTTATATTTTTCGAAATATGAATTATTTAATGTGAATTCGAATTCGAATATTTGTATTCTTCGAATAGTTCGAAATATGAATTATTTGATGCGAACTCGAATATTTGTATTCTTCGAATAGTTCGAAC